TAGTTTCACATATTTTTATTTGTTTTTTGTTCATTTCTTTTTGTTGTATTATTCTTAGTGTTTTTTTTTAAATTTGTTTGTTACATTGTTCCTACTACTACTATAAACATGTAATTTTTCTTGGAATTAATAAATTTATTCAATTCGCGAAATTCTTAAGAAAAAGATACGAGTAAGGTGAGAGCGTGAAGGGATGAATACAATTTTTTCCTCTATAGAACTTCTGTATTTCCATTTCCCATTCAGAATATGCATTTTCAAAAAATAATTCAAATATTTGATATCAATTTCGCAAAACATGCATATGCCCTTTTCCGGGATTGTTGACCAACATTCAACTACTACCAGTTCGAAATTTCATAATAGTGAAAATGTAAGTGACAAATGTGATTTTTTTGATAACTCCCCGAGCAACTATTAGGGAGCATCTGGCTTTTTGTAGTCCGTCGCCATATAACGTTGCAGTTTCGCCCCAACTTTAACTACATGACTTTTCGATCGCAAGTCAGGGGTATTACCACTTGTGACAATACACCGCTGAATTGTGAATTTAAAATAAGAAATATTGTGTGTAGCAACTTATGAAATAAAATGAAACCCTTTCAATTTGTTGTACTGAATGTCAGCTATGAACTTTAAAAAGTATACTATGAATTGATTTCAGAATTATTCCATCAAGTCAAAACAACAAATTAGAATGGACCAAAATGGGTTGTATTTCATACAAAAAATATCACAGCTACGAATATCACGATAAAGGTTATTCAATACTTATATTTCGACGCATTTTGATAATCAGGAATCACGCGATATCCTAGCCATGTGCCTCTTGTGAATTTGCTGCATCTGCGTCTCAAGCCAGTCCGCTCTATATTCAATAACCTCATACTCTACCAATGTTCCTCTTCTTCTCAGAATTTCCATTTTTTCCACAAAATCGATTGGCCCTAAAAAATTGTTATTTAAGCAAACTTTCTTTAGCGCGAGTCTTTCCCTTTGGATCTAAAATGTTCGTTGAAATTTTTGCTCAAAAAATAAGGTGAATTTTCATTTTTCTCAAAAACTATTTTATTTATTTTTTTCCCTACAAAGTAATCCCCCTCAGAATCACACGTTAAAAGGTAAGACCTCGTTAGTCCTTAGCTCGCACAAGTTTCTCAACTTCTGAGAGTTGTCGTTCGTATGGGGGCGGCAGCTGTGTTATTAGATTATCAATAGATTAGTTAAATCCAATTCATTTTTCATGAAAAAATTTCAACAGTTCGTTGGGAATCGGGATGATAATTCCCGCCTCCTTATATGAAAATCAAATTTCCAATTGAAATAATTTTTCTAGCGTCACCAAATTCTCATAAAACATTTCAACGTGGTTTGAAAATTTTGACTAAAATAAATACTGAGAGGTGATCAAAGAATATGAACTTTCACAACCGGAGATTAACTGTGTAAAAGCTATTTTCTGGGTTTTTTGGCTGTGGTTTGCAGGTTTTTATGCTCGACATACTGAGGGTTGTTAATTTCTACCCTTTTACTACTTACTCATTATTCCACGTCAAATGTCTGGGCGTCAGCTCCTATGAGGTTTTTTTGGTTTGAAACGTTTTGGAAAGGTCAAGAAGCTGGAAAAGTGGGTGCCCCACAATTTGAATGATCAGCAGAAATTGTCACGTTTCAAGGTCTGTTCTTTTTGCTTTTGCGCAACCGAAATGATCCTTTTTGGATTGAATCGTCAGGTATAATGAAAAAAAAAAAGCGATTTATTTCCAACAGGAGTAACCAGTTACAGGAAATGCTATTATTAAAGAGTATATATGAAATGAATATTAAAAATAATGGAATATAGAATATATAAAAGTAAATGCTAAAACAAGATGTCATATCAAATCGTGTCAACAAAATGTTATGATCGATGCCTCTCGTGTGGTATTGTCCATCAACTTTTAGAAATAATGAACTTCCTTTTCGCGCTCTCAATTGATGTTTTTGGTAGTCGTAAACTGGATTCCATAACATAGAGCCATACTATAACTTAGATCTGGCATACGCAAAATATAGCAATTTTAAGGTGGCAATACTTTTGAAGTTTTTGCCATTTCTGTAAATGAATCCAAGCATCCTATTTGCATCAGCAGTCATATTCCTTATGTGTTGTAAATGTTAATTTACTGTCGTATGTTATACCTACATCTTTTATCTCATGTACGCGGTTGATTGTAGTATTGTTGATTGAATAATCGTACTTTGAAGTTCGCTATTTTGTTGTAAATGATATTATTTTACATTTGGATACGTTCAGTTTTAGACGGTTATTGTTACACCAAAGTTTGATTACATCTAATTCATGTTGTACATGTAATAAAAATTCAAAATAAAAGAGGTCCAAGATGAGAACTTTGTGGTACCCCAGATGTAACTACGTACTGAGCCGATTTGAAAGATTCATATTCGACGAATGGTTTTCTAGATATGATTCGTCACTGTACCATTCATAGGAAAACCTAGAAGAGGGTATGCAGAAAACTAGTCGTCTTAGTCCAGAAAAAACATAATATGAGCCCATCCGAATAGGTCACATTAGCATTCACCAAGAGGACCAAGATGTAAGGTAGGCAAGGTC